TCTAGGCCCAAAACCAGTCCAGCTCGTCCCCGCCTCCCTAACCTGTTCTTCCTCCCACCTATCCCCTCCTCCCACCTCAAGCCGCACCCCCATCTCCTACAGACTAACCTCATCCCGCCCCCTTGACCTGTCCGTCCTCCCTGGACTGACCTATCCCCTCCCTAACTCCCCACCTACACTCACCTTTACTGGCCCCATCCCCGCCTCTTCGACCTGTTTGTTTCCTCTCCACCTATCCTCTCCTCTATCCATCTTCTATCCGCCTCCCACTCTCTCCCTATTTATTTCAGAACCCCCTTCCCCTCCCCCTTTTCTGATGAAGGGTGTAGGCCCGAAACATCAGCCTCTCTGCTCCTATGATGCTGCTTGGCCTGCTGTGTTCATCCAGCCCTGCACCTTGTTGTCTAGGCCCAAAACGTCAGCTTTCCTGCTCCTCTGATGCTGCTTGGCCTGCTGTGTTCATCCAGCTCTACACCTTGTTATCACAGCATAGGAACAGACCCTTCAACCCACCATGTCTGTGTCTTTCACGATCCATTCTAAACTAATCCCATTTGCCTGGTCCGTATGTGGTCTGTATCTAAACTTATGCCACATAGGATTTGAAATTTTCACCCAGGAGAAAGACTATCCAGCCTTTCCACACCTCTTGTAATTTTAAATACTATCAGACCCTCCCTCAATCTCTGATGCTCCAGCAAAAACAAACTAAGTTTGTCTAATTTCTTGTTATTGCTATTACACTCCATCCACATAACGCTCCTTTGCACCCTCTCCAAAGCCTCTAACTCCTTCCTATAGTGCGGGGAATCAGTTGAGGCCAGGCCTCATGCAGCTCCAGATCCATGACCAGCTCCAGCTCTGGCAATGTGGTTGCAGAGGCTTTGTGCCAGAGGCGGAGGAACCCAGAGCTGATGACCGATGACCGGTGGCAGTGTCTGGTGGAGGATTGGAGAAGGAGCAGGAAGCATGAGACCATGCTCATGGCTCAGCTCGGACACGGCGGTTGCAGGACTGGCAGCAACGCGGGAGGCGGGTCTGTAACCAAGAACCCAGAGCCCATTACAGAGATTTAGGCTGATGTCAAGTAGTGAATGAAGGAATAGCAGAGGGTGACAGGAAGAAGAGGGAAAGATGAACTCCTATTGCAGTAAAATCTTGCTTTATATTCAATGTTTCAAGATAGCGCTGGAGCATGGTGACACTTTGTGTTTTGCATATGATAAAACACTTTTCATTGTATTTTTATATACGCGTGACAATAAATCTAAATCTCATCTAATTTAATTTAAATGGAATCAGATCACCTACATTTTCATCCAAATCATATATATAAGAAAATATATATTACAACCAACAGAGGCTCCAGCACTGGTCTTTGCAGAATACCACTGGCCACAAACCTCAAGTCATAAAAACACCCCTTCATAATTACTCTCTGCATTCTACGGTCAAGTCAATTTTGTATCTAACTTACCAACTTATTGTGGATCCCACTTGATTTAATCTTCTGGACCAGCCTACCATGAGGGACTTTGTCAAATGCTTTAGTAAAGTCCATGTAGACAACATCCTATCCATGGTGCCCTATCCTCATCATTATTTTTGTCACTTCCTTGAAAAACTCAATAAAATTTGTGAGACAAAACTTGCCCTGCACAAAGCTATTCTGACGAAGCTTAATATGTCCATTCCTTTCCGAATGCAGATAAATCTTGCCCCTAAGTATCTTCTCCAATAATTTCCCTACAATTGATATAAGACTCACTGGTCTATAACTTCCTAGATTATCCCTGTTGCCCTTCTTAAGTAAAGGAACAATATTGGCTATTCTCCAGACTTCTGGGACCTTGCTGTGGCTAAAAAGGAGAAAAAAAATATTATGGCCCCAGCAATCTCCTCTCTTGCCACCCTCAGTATCCTGGGATAGATCCCTTAAGGTCCTGGGGACTAATCTACCTTAGTTTTTCAAGGCACACTCCTTCTTAATGTTGGCAGTTTGCTGACAAATAAAAGCTAGATGGGGCAGTAAACTGTGTGGAAAACACAAAGAAATATAAACAGATAAACTGAATAGGTGGCAAAGTGAATGATTGCATATATTGTCAGGCAGTATGAGGTTATTCACTTTGGTAGCAGGAGTAGAAAAACAATATTTTTTTAAAAGCGTGAAACTTCTAAATATTATGTTCTACATTTGGCTGGACTCATGGAAGGATCACAGGCTTTAATATGTTTGTACGGCAAACAATTATGAAGGTAAATAGCATGTTTGCCTTCATTACAAAGGAATTGAAATACTTTGATAAGGAAACCTTGCTACAGTTTTGTGGGGCTTTGGTGCAATTACGCCTATTGCTCTATGTACTGTGCACAGTCTTCTGATTGGCAATACAAACATTTGCATTGAAAAGTTCATTAGAATGGATACTGGAATTAGAAGGCTGTTGTATGATGAGAAGCTGCATTTGTCAGATTTAATGCTGTGGTGGGTTGGAAGAATGAGTGATCACTTCACCGAAGAATACAGGATTCTGAAGAGGCGTGTTAGGGTAATTACAGAGATTGTTTAAACTAGTTGAAGAATCCGGAATATGCGGTCATGGTATGACACAGTATGACTTTAAAAGGTCATTTTGTCTTGGTTTTGTTTGAAGAGAAGCTGTAAGGCAGAGGTAGCGAACTGCCTACTGAAGATGACTCACGTAAACAACTCGTGAGGCCTTAGGATTTTTTTTAAGACAGCCTAAATGGGTAAGGCCAGTTCTCACAGACAGAGATTTCTGGGTTTTGTTTTTTTCAATAACGTGAGATGTTCTTCAGGTCTCAAAAGAGTTGGAAGCTTCAGTGAATGTCTCTTGGCTGCTACTTTCTCTGAATTTTCTTTTAATGTTTCTTTCCTCCTGGTCTGGAGAACTGCACGTGAGAATCTGTGCCTGAATTTGCCTTTTTGCCAGGGAGTGTGTTTATGGGATGTTGCTATGTTGGAACAGTTAATTAGTAATAGGTACTGAATCTATTATTTGGTTAAGTTTTCCAATAGTTAAGTTATTCTAAGTTCCTCTTTCTTTTGTTTATATTTTAACTATACTGTTTAAATAAATTGGGTTGGGTTTTGCTTGACATCGAGTAGTTTGACAAGTTGCATCAGTCTGGAACACAGCACTTCACATGTACCTTTAAAATAAGAAAAAGGGTCTAGGCTACCTTCTTAAAATATTTTGACAAGGTCTGGTCCAAAACAAGTTAGGTTTAGGATTGTTGAACTCAAAGGCTGCGAGTGGTACTTCCTTTATTTTGGGTGTTGATTTTGCTTGGTTTAAACAGCATCTGCCTTGTGTATTGATGGCTCTTTCAATCAATGAGTTTCCTGAGGGTGGAGAAAATGACTTTGGGCATTTTACGAAAAGTAAGCAAAGCAAAGCTGTTGGAATTGGCAGACCAGCTGGAGTTGGGGTTGCCTTTGTCTGCGAAGAAAGGGAAATAGTTGTGGCAATTGCGCAGCATTTTAAAATGCTGGAGATTGCATCTTTGGAAATAGCTAAAATTCAGTTGCAAATGAAGCAGCTTTAATTAGAGGCAAAAGAAAAGGAAAGAATAGCCCTGGTAGAATGAAATGAAAGAGAAATCAAAATGAAAAAAGTTTGAATTACATTTACAAACAGAGGAAAAACGGAGAGGAAGGCCCTAGCAAAAGAAAGAGAAAGAGAGAAAGAGAAAGGAGAAAAGCAGAAAGATAGAGAATTTGAACTTTTGAAGTTAGCAATTAGAGAGGAAAGTCAACGTAAAAGGGCAATGAAAATAGATCAAATATATGACGCTCTTAGAGAGATGATTATTTTGGAGCAGTTCAAAAATTCACTTAGTGAAGTAGTGAGAACCCAAGTTGAAGAGTAGGAAGTTAAAACTACAAGATGAGCAGCCAAAATGGCCGACGATTATGAGTTGGTTCATAAATCAAAGTTTGGCATCCAACATCGATTTAAATTTGTGAGGGATAAAAATTAAGGAAAAGAGAAATCCTCAGGTGGTAAGGGAAAAGGAGATCTCATTGAAGATAATAAAGACAGTTTACCACAGGGTAAAAAGGAAATCCATAAGGGGGAAAGAGAAGTAAAGAAGCTCAGGTGTTTTCATTGCAATAACATAGGTGACATGAAGTCGCTGTGTTGGTGGTTTAGAAAAAGTACTGGGAAGGCGGATGTGGGAAAACAGGATTTACCAGTGAATTTTGTTGAAGTGGTAAAGGAAAGCACAGTGGAAGCTATAAAAGCTGCCCCAGAATGTACAACCTGGTCAGGGGTTGGTTGAGAAGGAAGTGCCCGATCTTCCTAAACTATTTACTTATGAATGGATGGCAGACTGTCAAAAGGCATTTGACATCATGAAAGCTGTGTTAACTACTCCCTAGTGTTAGCCACACTTAATTACGCAAAGCCATTCAAGGTAGCTATCACTGTGAGTGATGTAGGTATCATTGAAGTACTCTTACAAGAAGACAACAAGAAGATAGAAAGACCTATTGGGTATTTTTCCAGAAAGTTAAATACTCATTAACAGAAATTTTTCACAATTGAGAAGGAAACCTTGAGCTTGATGCTGGCATTACAACATTTCAACATTTATATTACCAGTAATGTGTCTGAGATAATTGTATATACCAGGGGTGGAGACCCTTTTTATGTTGGAAGGCCACATTTTATTTAACTGAGATCCTATTAGGCTGCATGTTGAGAATTTAACACATACAACAAAGTGTCATATTTTTGTTTACATATTTACTATTGTAATTAAAGGCTGCTATTACATGAGGACTTTAAACCAAGTAAAAATTCAGCAAAGACACATTTATTTGTTTGGCAAAGTTAACAATAGAACTAATAATGTGAAAAACTTAGACAACAAACCATTTAATGACTTTCTTGTGATTGCTTATTGCGAGATAGGAATCAGATATTTGGTTTCAACATCATTAACCATAGCTTTAATTGGTCCTCCAGGTGAATATCCGTCATCTGAGATCTCAAGCTCGTTCTAATTTGTGTCACACCTGAATATGTTGATTTACAAGTTTAGGTTGTGCCAAAACAAGACAGCATTTGACAAGCATGTTAACTTAGACGTGGGTATTCAACAGCATTTTTTCATATTTCAATGGGATCCTTCTTAGTGTCAAATAGAGGCTTCAGAATATTATCTTCTAAGAGTTCAATCAACTCTATCTGTAAATCATCAGGTGCTTTAGAGACATCAACCAGGTGTGATTGAAAAGCTAGCTTCAGTGTGAGATCATGTTTCTCAAATCTGCAAACCTTTCATTGTATTCTTCACTCAGTGAGCCTAGAACAGCTGTGTATTCTTTCATGTCACATTTCCTTAATGATTTGCTTGTATCCTGTTCATTAATTACCTTTGCCAGTTCAGGAAAGTGTTCAGCTGAAAGTCCCGATTGGGTAAGGAGAGGTTTGAAAAAGGTCAGCTTTTTCCGAAATGCCTGGGATTTTAGCCACATATCATGTATAGATTTAGTTTTACCCTGCAAAAAAAATTCAGATCATTTTGCTTTGACATTATATTATACAAAAATGCAGCACTTCTGCATAAAGCCTCTTTTGACAATTCATATGGTTCATTCAATTCCTCAAAAAGTCTTGTGATTTGTTTTCGCAAAGATAGAAGTTTTACAAGCATTTGTCCTTGTGACAACCAGGCACTTTAGAATGATATGGCAAATTCACTGCGAATGTTTCGTCATCAAGCTGAAGCATGTTGTGAAATTGGCATTGCCATGATGCATTCGCTCAAATGTATTTACAATACCTATAACTTTATTTATTGTGTCACTTAAAACAGTAGATTTGGCACAGAGATTCTGTTGACGCAAATGACAATGAAAGGAAATCAAAGTATCTGGATCTGGCAATTCTTTTTGTAGTAAGGCAACAACTGCTTCATGTTTTCCTCTCTCGGAAGGTGCATCATCTGTGCACACACTTACTAAACTACATAAATTCAGTTTCGCTTCATGGCATTTTTCTTTGAGGATAGTGAAGATTTCAATTCCACGTGTCCTCTCTGTAAGGGTACTCCTCGTGGCAACAAAAATCCACTGTTATAACATGAATAAAAAATAACACCTGCGCTGAGTTAGTAATGTCAGTGGATTCATCTAAGGTGATCGAATAATAAATGTCTTTGCTTTGGCATATTGTATGAAGTTGTTCTGTCACATTGAGCGCTAATTCATGTTGCTGATCAGTTATGGTTCTTCTTGAAAGAGGTAGCTGTTTGTACTTATTAACCTTATCTGAATCTAAACATCCTACAACTTCAACAATGCATTCTTTTATGATTTCCACATCGCTAAATGGCTTAACTCTTCTTCCTGCTTTATAAGTTGCTTCAGTGATGTCAGTCCCTTGTCGTGACATTGTTTTAAATACTTATTGCTGCTACTGCTTCTGATCTTTCATTTTCGTAAGTGCAGACTTTGAGGGTTCTCCCTCCAGTTTAGCATATTTGTGGTACTTATGAGTTGCATAATACTGATATGCGTTGTATTTCTTCACTGTTGCAATTATAGCATCGCAGAGCAAACGCATCATTTTATCTTTCACAGAAACTATGTAATACTGCAATTTCCATTCTTCATTGAATACTCAGTTCTCTTTCTTTCATGATGTTTTCTTAGTTTTTGACATGGCTGGGTTACCAGTAAAAATTTTTAAAATGGTACACAGATTTAAAAAAGCGGATTTAGTATTTGCGGAAATAGGCAGAAGGCCCCAACTAGTACTCCAAAAGGCCACAGGATCCCCACCCCTGCTCTAAACCCTTCCTATTCAAATACCCATCCAGATGCCTTTTAAATGTTATAATTGTACCAGCCTCCACCATTTCCTCTGGCAGCACATTCCATACATTCACCACGCCCTGTGTGAAAAAGTTGCCTCTTAGGTCCCTTTTATATCTTTCCCCTCTCACCTTAAATCTATGCCCTCTAGTTTTGGACTCACCTATCCCAGGGAAAAGACCTTGTCCATTTACTCTGTCCATGCCCCTCATGATTTTACAAACCACTGTAAGGTCACCCCTCAGCCTCCGACACTCCAGGGAAAATAGCCCCAGTCTATTCAGCCTCTCCCTTTAGCTGAAACCCTCCAATCCTGGCAACATCTTTGAAAATCTTTTTTGAACACTTTCAAGTTTCACAACATCCTTCCTACAGCAAGGAGACTAGAATTGCATGCTGTATTCAAAATGTGGCGTAAGCAATGTCCTGTACAGCTGCAACATGACCTCCCAACTCCTCTAATCAATGTACTGACTAATAAAGGCAAGGATATCAAACGCCTTCTTCACTATCCTACCTACCTGCAACTCCACTTTCAACAAGCTATGAACCCACACTCCAAGGACTCCTTGTTCAGCAACACTCCCCAGGACCTTACCATTAAGTGTATAAGTCCTGCCCTGATTTGCTTTTCCAAAATTCCGGACCTCACATTTATCTGCCATCTGCCATCCTTGGTCCATTGGTCCATCTGATCAAGATCCCATTGTATTCTGAGGTAAACTTCTTCACTATCCATTACACCTCTAATTTTAGTGTAATCTGCAAACTTATTAACCATATCTCCTTTGTTCACATCCAAATCATTTATATAAATGATGAAAAGCTGTAGACCCAGCAGTGAACCTTGTGGCACACCGCTGGTCCCACACCTCCAGTCTGAAAAGCAACTCTCAACCTACCTTCTACCTTCAGGCCAGTTCGGCATCCAAATAGCTAGTTCTCCACCTATTCCATGTGATCTAACTTTGCCAACCAGTCTACCATGAAGAACCTTGTCGAATGCCTTACTGAAGTCCATATATATCACGTCCACCGCTCTGCCCTCATCAATCCTAAACGTTACGTCTTCAAAAAACTCAATCAAGTTAGAGAAACACAATTTTGCACACACAAAACCATGTTGACTATTTGTAATCAGTCTTTGCCTTTCCAAATACATGTATATCTTGTCCCTCAGGATTCCCTCCAACAAATTTCCCACCACTGATGTCAGGCTCACTTGCCTATAGTACCCCTTCTTGCTTTTTGAGGAAGTGCCAATCGTGTTGGATTTTGGACGGTTTTTCACTGTGAAGCCTTCTGAGATGTCTCAGTATATCTCACCAAAATCACTTTACTTACTATTTACCCCTCTGCTACAGCATTCCTTTCATCCTGATTCTATTCCCATTTTGCCAAGTGTTGTTCTGGGAAGAACTCACAAGTCGGTGGATATCCGCTGGCATCTGTGCCATATTTGAAAGGTTGTGTACTCAGATGAGCACTGGCATTTCGAAACTGCCCTGCTCAGTGATGGATAGTCACTGTAAAGATGTTGGAGGAAGGAAAGATGGTGGTGCAATTCTCAGACAGGGTCAACTACAGTGTGGTGCCAGTATGGTATATAGTGTTTGGGCTCGTCACAGCATGTCCACTTCAGGCTGGCAACATCATTTAATCCACATACTTTTCATCTTTTTTCTTCCACATCCTTCTTTCTTCTTCATCTTCAAGGCCATAGGAGTGTCAGCTGGGCGGTGGATATGGCATCAGCAGTATGGATCAGGAATTGTGGTAACAATGGCAGTGCCTGGAGCCTGGACTCTTGGTGGTGTTGGCAAGGCAGCAGCGGCAGCGGAGCTGTGGTCTCCTGGGGCATCAGCATTGTCGTTGCTGCTCCGGGAGTGGGACTCCTTGAAGACAGGAACACTTTGCAGGGATCTTGCAGAAGCCCTGACTCCAATTTGAACAGAAGATGACCTTTCTAAGCTTATTGTAACCCAAAATGGTGCCAGAGTGTGGCACAAAACACTTTTCACTGTATCATCAAGACATGTGTGACAATAAATCATTCATTTGTTCATTCATTAGAGACTCTAGGGAAGTGGGCAGTGTAGAGAAGGTGTGTCCCCTTCCTGGAGAACCAGTAGAGAAGACCACGACACCAGGCAGCTTTGTGCGAGGTCGCCATCAAGCTTAATGTAGTCTCCATAGTACAGAGGAACACCAGCAGTATCACAAGAAGATCAATGATCTTTTCTGCTCTGTCAAGGTAGGTGTCACATTTTTCTTTCTGCTAGCTCATACTCAGTCTATCTCTGCTATTGCACCTGCTTCCCACCAAGCTTTGTGCTCTGCCACTCTCATCAGTTCCTGCAACTTCTTCTCTTATACTCTCTCACCCATTCTGTCACCCCACACTTCTAATCCTCCATTGTCACTGTGCTGCCTATTCACTTATCTAGACCACCTTTAGACACTAACACTAACACCATGTTACTTACATCTCACTCAATCCTTCCCTTTCTCGCATTCCACAAGAAGACAGCTCATAATAAGTTAAAGGACCCAGATAGCCAGAGGCCAAAGGGAGAACATCCTACGTTCAGTAGGAAAAGAGAATGTCAAGCTTAAAAGATTTGGAGTACAGGCTGGTAAGCACATCACGGCAACAGCTGGGCAAGGAAGAACTGTCCTAGGCTGTTGGTACTTAGAGGATTGTTGGAGACCAAGGGCCTAGTCAGCCCGAGTCCAGACAGGACCCTGCGGTATTGGCACTCAGAAACTTTGTCAGAAAGTATCGGGAGGAACAGGAATATCAGATAATGGCCCTTATTGCTCATAGGCTACAGAAGTAGCCTATGGTACAGGATCCCAGTAATCATTTGATTACCTCCATGGAAAGACTGGCAATTCTACAATGGGTCTGGTCCTGCACTCTCGCAGTTCTGAATATGTGCACAGGCCCAAACTCCAGCACACCACCCAGTGGTCCTCAAAACTGAAGGCATGACAACAGGGGTACCGGAAACCTGAGACACACTCCAGGCACTGCTTCCTCACAAAGAGGCAAGTGCCAGGGGGAACCCACCCAGAAGATGAACCACACACAGGCCTCCCAGAAATCTCCTCTCAGGACACCTTTGGGGCAGCTAAGCCCTCCAGCTTCACTCTGCCTGCCCCATTTACCAGCGAGCAAACCCCTGCTACCACAGCTGTGGAACCTGGAAGTAAATTTAGGTGCATTGGGAGAGAGAGAAAGTAAAAAAACTTGTTGATGCCACTTTGGTAGCATGGTTGTATGTATAAATTTGACTGATTTTGTACTTTATCCTAAATAAAGTAAAAGAACTGCTGGAAATCTGAAATACAAACAAAAAGTGCTAGAGAGGCTCAGCAGGTCTGGCAGCCTCATTAGAGAGAAAAGCAAAGTTAACATTTTGAATTCGGTGATCCTTCATGGTTCTGAACTTCTCTACCTCAGCCAATAATCTGTTTCCCTCTATCACAGAGGGGCAAACGGCTGCAGGAGAACTTATCTGTTAATTTCCCTGAACGTGTGGATACAGTTTCTATCCAGACAAGTCGAGCCAGTGAAAACTCAAATGGCACTGCACTGGTTATCTGAAATTTTTTCTGACAGGCTAAAATTCCTCAAGGAGACAACACATGGAACTTACTTGACAGCTGCCCAAAAGTAA